TGTTTTCGTAGCTGATGGCCTTTTAGAATTCCCTCTTCTGTCACCGCCCGCCACGTGCTGTCATCCCACGGTTTCACCCTCTCTCCCCTACTCTCAATAATCCAATTCTATGCCCTTGTCTCCATATAGCAGTCTATTCGCGTTTTAGCTTTTAATTAATTTTTGATTTTGTGCCCGATTATATGCCGCCTTTCACTCTCTTTCCTCTTCGTCAGCAATATCTGATATCTATGGATATCAAAGTAGTTTTTGATCTTGTTTGTTTATCTTATAGTTCTTTGACGTTAAGTATTTTTTTATTTGCAACTTAACATAAGTTTAAAACATTTGTAGCATTGCGACAACGATTAAGACATCGTCGATTTTCCATAGTTTTCACAATATTATTCTAAATAGATATTCTTTCTTTCAATAATCTCTGACTCCCATAAGAGCAATAGTAATGTAGTTGTAAAACAAAATTGTTAAAAGTAAAATATAATCATGTACTATTTTATCAGCCTTTTTATCTAATTTTTTTCATCATGAAGATAAATCTAATAGTTACGAAGTGTACATGCCAATTCTCAAACTTACAAGTGAAAATAATATCGCACTATATGTACTTGTTTTAAAGAGATTTTTTCCTGAGTCGGAATGACACAGATAAAATCGCGATTAAACGATAATAGAAATTTTACATGTCGCGAGAAGTGAGTTTGTTAATCAGTCGACTGTTTACGTATGTATAATTATGATTAATTATAAATGTCCCGGTAGGTATATCATAGATATGTTGTGTAAAGAGATAAATTCCCGCGTCGTATTTCAGTGGTAACGACTTTCCGACGTTATCTAAATCAGACATGCGTTTGTTTGTATTATAATTTACCGTGCACGCTTTCACGTGGGATTTTTAGATACGCTGTGGAACAATAAGTAACAATATGTTAACACAAAAGTTAATTATTTTCGCGTACTTTGTTACGCATTGTTAAATAACATACTTCATTAACGTAAATATATCTAATTGTTATCAAATAAATAACATACATTATTCAACAGACAGATTTTTCTTGATATTTTATGTGTAGACATTAATTGTTAATTGTTTTAAATTGCTAAGTATGCGAAACGTCATGAGCGCGACAATTAACAATGTAATATATTTTTTCAATAATATACAGAGTCATCTGAAATATAGTCTAAAGTTAGATAAGTATAGAAGCATTTGTGAATTGCGCTGTTGAATTATGCGTGAAAAAGAAAGAGAAGGAAATTACCATGAAATTCTGTTAGAGGTCCATTGACTTGTGCGAATCTCAACGAAACGGCGAAACGCGGGGCGCGGAAGAATCCAATAAACGTAAAACGAATTTGCTATTAGGGTCGCGTCTGATCTCGTTGCGGGCCAATGAGGCGAAGCAACCCTTATATCAACCCTCCCGGTATCGCGTCTCGCTGACGATAATAAATCGAATCATACTCCGAGAATCAGCGGGTGTTTGCCAACCCATTAGGATCGCTTAGCCAACTGTGTTTCTCTCTTCGAGGCGCGATACAGTTGTCAAGGATTTTCGTTAGCACATTTAAATCAATCGAAACATTCATGACAAATTCCAATATATTTCTAAACCATGAAAATTAGGTATTTTCGGATTTTAATTAAAGTTTCGAATTATTATACAACGAATATATCTTTGTTAATTTCGAGTTGCGTCACATTGCATCGGACAAAAGCGCACGACAGTTTCCTTTGATAGAACTCGGTGTGTCAAGAAGGCGAAAGCCATAATCGGTGAGTTATTGTATAAATACTTAGTTTCACCAAGTTGATAGGAAAGTCTGTCGTTACTGGTAGCACCTACAAGACGACGCCCACTCAACAATCAGAGCATCTTCTTGGTATCTGTATTCTCTTTCTTTTGCCAAGGCCAGTGGATCGAGTGACTATAAACACACAAAAAAACTTTCAGTCAAATAGGATATATTCAGAAAGCAAATGATTCAATAACGCGTAATGATAACAGTAAATTGAAGAATATAAACGAATCCTTTTTTTCATTTATATTGCACTTATCAACAATCTATTCAAATTTTAGTTTTCTCTTTGTCTTATCGATAATAGACAAAAAATCTACATATTAAATAGCGGAAATAATTATTTTTAATCCGGGAATGTTTATATTCTATCTTATAGAATCGAGAATCAATGGCAAATCCTTGCCGGGAACGGCGAGATACATATCTCATAGATCGAATGATCGCGGGGTGTGCCACACGAAGCGATGGCGGTACTTATAATTCCGACCACCGTGGAGTTTGTACATTGTGCTCGCTTGCAACGCAATCTATTCCGAGGATCTACCGCGCTGCTGCCATGCTGGTAGCCCACTCAACCAGTTCGTTAGCCAATCACGCAGGTATCGTCGTCGTCATTCGTCGTCATCTCGGTTTCTACGAGCCAGAGAAGAAAGCGTTGCAAGAGATGCAATCGATAGGTACACAGGACGCTGTTTTGTCCTGCTAGGTGCCGCTTATTTCTTCGAAGAATTTCTGTTGCTTTCGTTTTGTTACCGATTTTCTCAACTGTGTCGTTAAGGTTTTAGAGAGTCTTAAACTTGCTTTAAAGTTTAAATTTATTTCACTATTAACAGATGTTGTTTGCACAAGGAAAAGCACATATAATCGTTTTTGGTAACTGTATTGAAATGCGTGTCAAAACTGTAGGTACATGAAAGGAGACGATTTTGTACATATATGTTAAATGTGAGATATTTGTGTATGACATTATGTTGTGATTTAGGAGCTTAGAAGTTACTTTAATTGTTATAAGTATTTATTTAATTTTTTTAACACACACTCAGATAATCTGCGCACAGCTTTTGAAAGTTATCTTAAAAGTCGTTTTTTCTCTATTGCAGTGTGCTCATGCGACTTTAAATTGCTGCTTTGTCTTTTTGTTCTTTTTCGTATCTTTCCTCACTGGCGCAAACTTTCTCCTTTTTGTGTCACGACGATGCAATCCTTTTTCTTAAACACGTCGTATCCGATGAGTAGGGTCTTCAGTATGGCGGATAAGAGAAATGAAAAAGAGAGAGCATTGATCGTTTTGTAAACAGTTGCCTCGCGCGAGTCTCTCCAGTCTTAACCTGACAATTACAAACGAATAGTATATACGTCGCGAGACAAAGCTTCACCATCAATTTCTTATAAATAACTTCCTCTATTATTTTATTTGTCTCACATGATTGTCGATCATTCGTGGCTGTAAAATCAAACAAAAATCTTTTCCTTGAAAAACATTTCGCAAATTGAAGGTTTTATAAAGATTAGAACACATTTAATTGTGTGTATTTAGATAATTACTTATATTTTTTTTCTTTTCCTTTTAACATCGCGATTTCTTCGCACAAAACAAAAAAACACGAAAATTCGCATAAAATTTATACGTCACGTGGAACCACCGGAGAGTCGACGATTCTCTCGATCACCAGATTCCACCGTTTCGCGTTTGACTTTACGATCCGGCTTCCAATCTGGAGACACTGGCGAGAGCCACGATTTTCCTGGCAATCTTTTTTTATTAGTTCGCGACGAGAGAACACGTCGTTGCAGCCGCAGCGAACCAGCGGGAGCCGGCATTTTCAGCAGCTGTAGAAGCGAAGCGTGACTTCGGTCTTCAGTTCTCTAGATGTTCGTATATTCCGGGGTGTACTCTCCTTCTCCCTTCTTCTTCCTCCTCTTCTTCCTCCTCTTCCTCCTCTTCTGCGCTCTCCTCCTCACTCCTGTAACCCCCTCATAAGCGGATTACGTGGGTCCCGAAACGAGCCAAGCGAGGCTCGATGGCACGAGGAAGGTAACGTGGAGTGGGTTGTAGGGGGAGCTGTTCAAAATTACGCTATCGCGGCCTCACAACGTTCATACCTCTCTCTCTCTACGTCGATCTCCCCGTCGTTACCGCGTGGTAACCAGGCGTGGCAACAACCCTTCGTCTTTGTAAAAGACATCGCAAGCGCTCCATATTTCAAAATATCATTGATGGCCGTTTATTCGGCTCGATTGACAGACATATTGAGTTTCTGGACACGTCGATGTTCGTCTCGCAAAGATAATTCACTGCTGATTCTATTTTTTCGTTAGTTTCCTTTTGTATTGAAAATTTATTTTAAAATGTATTTTCTTTTTCAAAAAATATCTTTAAGTATCTATAATATATACATATATATATATATATATAAATATTGTATTTTTTTAGATAAAGAAAGAATTTTTCACATGCTAAGAAACACCAATTTTCGAGAGGATTTTTATAAAGAAAGTTACTGGTTTTATGTTTTATTTTATGTGTTATTGGTTTTACAAAATAATAAATATACTAGATGAAAGTGCATCTTATAAATGTACTTGTAATTTTTTAATTGGTTTGACAAAAATTACTTTAAATTTAGTGCATATAATTTATTTATTTGACATTTTGCATCAACCTATGTTTATTTTACGATTTTATTTACTCATTTTATAAATTATATCTGCTTAAAATCTAGAAAGTCTTTACACAGTCTATTTATTACTATTTATTGTTACCTAATCTTCAAATTATTATTTCTTAGAATATAATTGGTTATTATTTTTATCTGGTTTTTTTATAGCATATTCACATGTGTTAATTATTGTTGCGTCGGATTCTTACAAGCAAAAGAATTTCTAAAAACATGCAAAAAATTCTCTTTTACACACACGCACGCTACCATTCGCTAGGTTTTATGCAGAGATATACAACCCTTGACTTCCATTTCGCATTAGAGTACTATCAAATAGTTTTAACAAACTCGTATTGATTTTATAATCAATGTATGAAAGGCAAATAATGTATTTTACTTATTGTAAAACAGTTTTACAGGCAGTTTTACGAGTAGTACTTGTAATGTAGATACCTACACGGTAAAATAAAATTTCACGCCGAGTTTCACGGAATGCAATAATTATAATAACAGGCGCTTTCTTTTTTTATGTTGCAGGAATGAATCAACGCAAACAGCGTCGCGAGAGAACGACTTTCACAAGAGCTCAGCTGGATGTGCTCGAGGGACTATTCTCGAAAACGAGATATCCGGACATCTTTATGCGAGAGGAAGTTGCCGTCAAAATTAACCTGCCAGAGTCACGAGTCCAGGTATAATTGTTTTATAACGTTTTTCTTTCCTCTTTTTATATTCTTGGAATTTTATTGCTCCTGGAATATCGCTCTGGATATATGTATAAATAACGGTGGAAGATGGGAAAGAGATTTCCTGATCTTTCAGTGAATAAATCGCACTCTGCAAGTTATCTAGGATTGTTATTACAGTCAATTTTGCGTACGATTATATTAACGTAATGTTTAATGAAATTTCTCACGCGTCGAGTGCACAATGTATATGGTTATATTTCAATTCGCGACAAAAACGAGAGCAAAGAAAAGCGAAAAGAGGCGAGAAAAGAGAAAAGAACAAAAGCAAAAAATAGAGAGAGAGAGAGAGAGGAGACAAAAGTTGCGTTTCGTGCTCTGGCAATCACAAGCGAGATTTAAGGTATTTACACAGTGCGATGTTCGCGCCCTACGTCGTTCCATTTCGCCATTGTCCCAGCCCCGCTGCCTTGTACATTGATAGATGTGCCGACGAGCTCGTTGACGCTTTTATTGTGGTTCCGTGACATCTTTATCTCGCGATAGGGCGTTACCAAGTCACGATCGCGACTCGAGAGATTTTAAGCTCGTGTTTCGAATTTTGAGCTTTCACTGTACACTCAACCCCTATCATTAAAATTGAACATTTAAAGAAAAATCTCGCGCGAATATAAAAGCAACAAATTGTCACTTCAATCACCGAATAAAAATAGAACATTTTCTAATAAATTTCTCATTTAACAATTAATTACTTCCTATTTAAGCTTTATATTTGGGAGTATTTATTGAAAATGTAGTTCGCGTTACTTGACTTGAAAGAGATATCTATGTTTGTACATTTTATATAGCTTTTTTACAATATTTTTTTGTAAAATGTTTTTGCGGCTTTATTCCGTGGATTTTGCTTCTAGCTTCGTTTGCTTGTTTCCTGAGTTTGTTCGGGTCATCGACGATTCACGCAGTGAATATCTGTTATCGCGGTATCATAACCAGCGCGTCCCGTCGGAATCGTGAAATATATAGGACAAAAGCGTGGAAATTCAGCGCCAGGATGCGCCGAGTTTCCGTGTGAAGTTAAGCCGCCGTGAATAGCAATGCAACTGCGAAAGGGTGTGTCGTCACACGGAACATGCGTGTAGTGTACGTGCACTAATACAGAATGGAGTCAGTATGCGCGGGATGTGTATAGATATGTGTACATATACGTACGTACGTACATTATATATGTGCAAAGCAGCACAACTACGCGAACGAATAATATCTGAAGAAGGGACGCTATCTGAAAGTTTTAAAGGCAGAGGGGTGTTGGAAAGGTAGAAAATGGGGAGAGAGAGAGAAAGAGAGCAGAGGGTAGAAGTCTGATGGAGACCATAGGTACACATATAGATAGAGGTACACATAGTAGCGCGGCGTGCAACATATCGTTGATTTGTTCCTGGATTATAGCCCCTGCTCTATCTCTCGCTCGCGAGAGTTCTATATGCGCGCTTCTCTCATTGAGAGAACCAGGCAGCTGCGTGCGACGCGACTGACGCGGTATAGCGTCTCTGAATACGATTCCGCGTTCGTCGTCACACCGTTTGTTACCGACTCGAGAATAGATTGAAAAATAATAAAATATTGTCTTATGAAAGAAACTGGCCGAGTTCTCTCTAAAGTTCTGTGTAGACAATAAAACTGTCGCGAAATTGTTGGACCGTTTGTAATCCTCAGCATGAGTACGAACTCTGAGATTTCTTGTCTTGCAGAAATTCCGATGTTGAAAATCCGCGATGTAAATTATACCGAGAGTTGTGCAACAATATTAAGTGGAAATGTTACTCAAAAAATGTTTTTTCTTTATAATCGATTGAATATAAAACATTTTATGCATATTTTTCACGACAGGCTTTTGAATATATTGATAGATTTATCCTTTTGAATTTCAACTATTTCAACTATATAGCTTTGAGCGATTTGTTAACACATTATTGTTTAAAAACACATCATTGTTTTTAAAAACAATAATCACATAAACACGATTACTTGAGTGTAAAAATATAAAAAGGATGTTATCCAGAGGCAACTGGACCTCATATAACTTTATTTTAAAAAGGTTGTGTTTATTATTACATATTTTCAGTTTAAATATTTATAGAATGTAACAAAGCCTGTTTAGTTTGTTGAAATCATGAAATGAGTAACCATTGGAACGTCAACGCGAGCAGAATGCTCATCACGTTCGCATTAGCGAACAACGTGCTCTCTCGCGCGCTGTTTTCTCCATCAATCGTGCGTGTGCGTCAGACGACACATATCCCGATTACTATCACCGTGAGGGGTCATATTAATAGTACAAATAAGAAAATATATTTGTCATAACAGAGTGTCAAAACGCAGCTGCATCGCCTCCCTCTGACCATTGGGGCGGTTTTCCACTCGCTGAACGTAAACCAGATGGTGGCGCAATTTGCACCTCGCTGACGGTCTCTCGTGTATATGGGCGTGAAACCGGCAGTGGTTGTCCCCAGGGGTTCCTGGATGCCATCGCGGTCTGTTTGGTTGGTTTTCGGGATATCTCTCTCTTTCTCTCTCTCCCCTATCTCCTCTTACTCCCTTCCTCTCGTTCTTGCTTGCTGTCTCTGAAGGGGGTGTCGTTGTGCAAACACACCACTATAATGGGATTGCTCTCTGTCTACCACGCTATCTCCGACGTAGATTCATCTTTCTCGTTCTTTCAGCGGTTCGGTTTCTTTGATACGCAATATTCACGCACATCACCGTGCCCAACAGATTTTCGCATCCTATTGCACGGTGCGGAGGATGACTTTTGCAAAACGAAGAAAGTCTCATTGTGACAAAGAAGCAGAATTACTGTAAGGAAGCAGGAAAATGGCTTGCGACGTAGTAATTATGTCCTCTTTGAATCATCACACACATACATCCCGACGTTGATAAATATAAATATAAAAAGATATACAAAATTTCTCACACAATCGTTCTTATGTGTTTCATATGGACTGCAATAGAAAGGAACTTATAGATATCTATATTTATTGAAAGCGCTTCAAGTTCTCTCTCTCTCTCTCTTACTCTTACTGTTATTTGATAATTCGATATCGCCACAATAAAAATAAAAGACAATTTGATTGCTTGGTGAACGATTGATGTCTCCGTCTATTCTTTCAGCATCAAGACAAAAAGATTCTGCACAGCTCTTCGATTTCTACTTCGACCGACGTACGCACGACATTGGCCGTACTGCTCAAAATCCTACGCTTCGGCGATTCGCGCTCTCCGTAACAACTGTTTCAATACCACCGATAATAACAACAACGATGACGGGACCCGCTTTTAAAGGCGCGGGCATAGATTCATAGGATCGCACCCTTGGCCACATTGTGCCCCGGAGGGATTATAGGGGAACGCATGAGGGGGAGTATTACGAGGGTGGGGAAGGGAAAAGGGACGATCTCAACGCACTCGTAAGCTTGCGGCCTACGAGGGGTTGCTTTTTGTCCTCCTGCCGTTCTTCTGTCCTTTTTTTCAGAGAAAAACTCACGTACATATAACGCAAATCTTTCGTATATTTGTGTGTGTGTGTGTGCGTGTGTGTGTGTATCTTGTATTTGTAGTATAACGTATACCATGAGAAAGTCTTACATGTACACGTTATTCCGCGCATATTCATATATACGATATACACGCGCACACATTTGCACGTAAAACCAATATTCCATCTCACAATGGGGTGAAAACAACTCTACGACGGACTGCGATTCGCGCATGCGTACCGATGGAACGCTGTAGTCACGCCGAGAATCCTATGGGATGCTTCAATACACACGTATCGTGACGTCGCGCCTGATACACGCGCCCCTTTACGTAAGGCCTTCCCTCCGAGTCTGTGTTATTGTTGCGATTTAATGAAATGTTACGCCCGTTCGCCCGCGATTACTTTTCCATTGCGCCGATTAACTCTCCATTCGCCTGGTCTCGTCTCTCAAGGCAGGACAGTAGGACACTTTTTTCCCCTGATGATCCTCCCTATATGGCTTCCGTCGGAGAGAACCTCTCACAGGAGAATTTTATATCTATTTTATATCTCATTTTGGAAGTTTCCGATATATCATATGATGCCTATCGGGAGAAGTCCATTGATTTCCTAAGCATATTTTTTGTGTCTTTGCAAATCTACAAAATATTACGATACAAATAATATTATACACAGATGATACAATACGCGGATATATCAAAGTAATGTGGATGTCCTTGTTTTGAAATCTGTTACAATTATCTTGTTAACTTATGGTATTTCCCGTCGTTGTTCTGTTCTAGGTATGGTTCAAAAATCGCCGAGCCAAGTGCAGACAACAACTTCAGCAGCAACAGCAGCAGCAACAACAACAGCAGCAGCAGCAACAACAACAACAGCAACAACAACAACAACAAACTCCTCCATCAAAAGGTTCACCTAGATCAAACAGCAGCAGTACCGGCAACAGAATATCCACAAGTTCGTCAACGACGCCGAGCAGGCGATCTTCGCCCGACTCGCCCGTGCAAGGTAGAGAGGCGCCAGTTTCAGGTAATTCACCCATGTCAACACCACTTCTATCGACATATCCTCGAGTCGGGACAACACCAACCGGCGGTAGCGGCGCCAATAGCAATCTAACGACCCCGTCACCACCGCTGACACCAAGTTCTAATCAACTGCAACCGTCGTCATATCCGCCAGCAATGAATCAAATTCATCATGGTGAAACGTACGGCTTTACTTGGAGTTCGGCTGCGTCCGCTTCTATGAATCACAGTCAATACGCCGGTCAGAGTTACAATGCTTACACTCAGGCTCCGTACAGCGGCGATTACTACCAAGCGCAGATGCCTCATATACATCACAGTCCGCAGACGAACTATCATCATCCACAATATCATCATAATATGACACTTACTTCCACGTCGCACTTGACTAGTCATCACTTGAATCCGGTGACTAACCAGACTCAAGCAGTCAGTAATGATATAGCTGCTGCTGCTGCTGTCGCTGCGGCTGCGTCCAGTGAAGACTCTTACATTCTGCCCGATCAAAAGTATCCGCCATTGGCATAGCGGTCCAGCAGGTCCTCTGGGATCTTTCAACGGAGTCAAGAAACTACAGCGACCAGCTCTTCTATGTCCTATCGTTGGCGATTGAACACAGCAATTTGTCAAGGTACCAACGGTCACCTTGACTCTGACGACAATTGAGTATTTTCTTGTATCCAGCTCTGCAATGCTCTTGATGTAGATAGATTATATTACTGCCAGCTTCAAATTATACGTATAATTTGTTATCTGCATGTTTCTTTGTCAATGTTTCTTGCGACTTCGTTCTTATATATACAAGAGTATTTTAAAACAAATAATTATTGTAAAAAACTCCATTACAGAGTTAATTGCCAAAAGTTTTAGATATCGTATAATTGTTTCTTAAGATTTTATTATGCGTACATATAAAAATTTTACATTTTGTATGTTTTTATTATTTATACATACCCGAAAAAAAATTGCTCTTGAATTAAGATTTTTTTGAGAGAAAATGTAAGTCTTTTATATATATGTAGATATTTTATATACTTGAATAAAGACAAGCAAGAAATGCAAATTATAAATATGGACGTGACCATTGAGTGATATCTATTAATTAGAAAATAAGCTTATTTTTAAGAAAAAACTAGAAAAGATAAAAGAATTATGAAAAAATAATCTTAAATTATTTTTATTTTATGTTACATGACACAATCAGATCTCGTTTTAATGTTTAACCTAACCTAACCTAACCTAACCTAACCTAACCCTAACCTAATATCTACCATTCTTTCATTCTTGGGATGTGTGTAATCAGTTATACTCTAAAATTCAGTTACAAATAATACAAGTAATTGTTACATATACATACTTAATCCCTTATAAGGGATAAAGTTCCCCATAAAGTTAATACCTTTATTACACATGTCAGTGTGCTGTAAGCATTTAATTATTTACTTTTATAATCACTTCTTAGAGATATTGACTTAGTAATTTGCAATTATATTATTTTATCAAGACTTGTGTATTTTTTTATTTCACATACATAATGACAACCACTATGCCGGCCTACATGTTGCTTGAATTTTTCCGTGATGAAAGAGTTAAAAAAATATTTATCACTGCCGTTTTTATCATTAGTATTATCGTTGCAATTCTTATTGTATCATTACGATTGACATCGTATAAATAAATAATCCATATCATAAGTACGGCTATAGTAGTCGGAAAATTTGTAAATAGAAAATGATGAGTAGAATTGTATGTGAATGTTGTTAATGAAAGAGAAAGAAAGAAAGAGAGAGAGAGAGAGAGAAGTGTCTGTTAAAAGATTTCAAAAATTAAACATCCTCAGAATGTAAAATAAGAATTACCTCGCCAGAGAGTCTTATTATGTACTTTGTTTTTTTTCTATAATGTCTTCTTCGCCTATTAGAAAAACTCGAACTATGTCAAAAAAGTGTACATTGCGCTTTTTTGCGCGATAACTTAATTAGTATAATGTCTTCACTTTTTAAGAAGAAAGAAAAGTATGTATGAAAAAATGCCTATTCTTAAGTTACTCGTGAATGTATATTTCGTGTATATTATCTAATGTATATTAACCATAAATCGCGCGCGCTTAGAAAATATATATGTATAATTAAAGAACTAAAAAAGAATATTATTAAGATTGATAGAAAAAGAACGTAATCGACATGTTATAGCACATATATATGTATATATAATAACTGATATATAATATTAATTTGATATATACTATATATACAGGGTGTCTGACAACAAATGAAAAAAACAAAGTTTGTAAGTAGATCGGGTCAATTTGAACAGAAGTTATTTACCATTTTGCAAAATTCGCAATAGTCATTGAGATATGAATTAATAAATGTGAGCCAATAAACGCGCGGAAGGCGATAATCGGACTCTATAGACGTGTACAATTGTCAGTTGTTAAGAAAAATGGTTTATCTCATTCATAATGTAATAACGAGAAGCGAAGTAAACAAACAAGCGCGGCGCGAACTCAGCTTCTTGCGATCTCGATATTAGGCAGTACGCAGCGGTATCTTTCGCTCGCGCCGCTGCTTGTTGCGTATCGCCGAATATCGCCCGATCTTACGCGCGTAAAGGTCATCACACATAAAATTACATAAGAACATAAGACGTAGCCGCAAGAAAATTGACCAATCAGAATATATCCTACTGTCCCACAACTTTCGGACGTAAATTTTGGATTGGTTAATTTCTTTACAACTACGTTTTATGCTCTTACGTAATTTTATGTGTGATGGCCTTTAAGACAGTCCGGCACATTGCGCGCTCACGGTGTTACCCGTAGCAACGTATAGGAGGAGCCAATATGTATACAACAGCATATACTACAACATATACATAATAAAAGGTAACCGCGCGAAGCGCGCCGGACTGTCTTATGCGCGTAAGATAGCCCGATGCATGCTTAGAGTCGAAGCACAGATTTTTGCATAATGCATAACGCATTTGACATGAAAGAATCAACCAATCAAAGCCTTCTAGAACAAAAAGTAGGGATGAAAATGAAAAGCTGGATTGGTTGATTTTCTTATGTCATGTGCGTTATTGCATTATGCAAAACTCTGTGCTTTGGTTTTTATTCGCGGATCTTAGTTAATTAAGATTTCGGTAACTATTGCGAATCTCGCAAAATGACATAGTACTTTTTGACTCAGTTTTACTCTTTTCACGAGAGATGTTAAAGTAATTGTCGGACACTCTGTATATAGCTAAGTTTGTAATAATACGATGCAAATGTACATAAACATATATCTCTTGTAAGATACATGATTGTTTTATCATGTGCAAAGAGAATCTTCCTACGTCAAAAAAAAAATATCACATATTATTAATAAGTGGTTTTAATTACTTTCCCAATTTTCTATTTTATAATTTCTCTAATCCTTATCGAATGTATCCATCGATAACACTTAACACAATTAACACTTTCCATAATTATTCTAAATTGAAATTTTATTACTTCTACGTGTTCTGATATGCGCATTATATTTTGAACTGTATCTGCGATACATGCACGTACAAAGAAATTACTTGTACATGTATCTCTATTTGAATCTAGCAGCTTTATAGATTGCGAGCGCCGCGGTTCTTATTAATTACATTGATGTTCGCAAGACCCTATCGCCGCAGGCTGCAATTCTGCTAATGCACTTGGAATTAATTAATGTCAAAGCGACCACGCTTCGTTATTCGAGCGGTCGCATATATATTGATCTCGAGCGAATCATTAAGCATGTATTAATTACAAACTCGTGGTCGTGCTATAATCGCAATACAACGTCGTCGCGATGCTTGAGCACTCCTCGGTGTCTAATCTATATTTCTGTTACGTAAAACTATGAATCGAAATAGATTTAGACAAGTAGTTTTCCGATTAATTTCTATATTGAGAGAGATCTAAGTCAACTTACGATATCTTTATAAAAATGTTTTTTCCAATTACACATCTGCTTTTAATTACATCTGCTTAATTACATTTAATTATCAGGAGAAGAAACTAGAACAAAAGAATGCGTATGTATATCATACGGTTATAAAAATGTGTATGTGTATAATATTATTGACAAAAAGAGGCCATATATCGCGCCGATTATAATCTTAATCATTAAAATAATATCTCGTACTACATATACTACAACGGGGTTCCGTACAAGATTGTATGTGAACGATTTCGATATATGCATGCATAAAATCGGTCGATCAAAAGCGCGGCGTGCAAGTTGCAGTAGCGAATTTCTAAATTACCTATAAACATCACGGCACAAAGGAACCCTATGCAGGCCCTATGAAGAAACGAGAACTGCTCTATTCTCGGCTAATTGGACAGATCGCGTACCTGTCTACCTTTTGACGACGTAATCCGGCATCCTTTCTAACTCATCAAATTAACGAGCTATAACAAACTGCCCGCGCACGCTTTGATGGCCCCTTCGTATAATCGGGACGCAAATCCTTTCGCGACTTTCTATTTAAAGAGGATGCCTACTTCATGAAAGACACTCGAGAGCGGTTCAGTCTCCACAATGGATTCTCGTCACTGAATGCTGATTTAAGCAGTTTCGGTAATTGTATCTTAAGTCACAACAACGAACGACGCCATCGGAAAAAATAACCATGCTTTCTGGTTCACTACTTCTGTGAAAATTTACTGAATAATTTTATCTGATTAATCATATTTGATAATTTTATTTGATATTAATTACATTTGATTCTTCAGAAATAGAAATATTCGGTTATTTTGCGAAAGATACATAAATTCGCAAGCCTGGTACGCGCTTTTTAATCATACGTGTTTGGATGTACACATAGTAAACATACTATATGTTTACACACACACATATGTCGAGTGTAAAATATATAAAAAATAAGAAATAAAAGTTTTAATATTTAAAAATATAATGAAAATTAGTTTTCCTAATAAAGTTTTTCGTGGTTGGTAACATATCAGAAATCACATTACACAAAAAAGAATCAAAATGTCATTTAGTTCTGTTTTTCGTAATTACCGGCTAAAAAGAACTTACCAGAAGTTGACAAAACAAGTTACATATCGTTGAAATACACGTCACAATATAATGAACTATAACGAACTATAACAAAAGGTGAGAACACAATGAGACAAATAGTTATTGTTGTTCCGTACCGTTTTCGCGAGGAGTCGTAGATCTGTCGACGACCGCTTTATTCTCCTTGCGGCGAAGACAATAGCCTTGAACTTGGCCGAGTGTCGCGGTGAAGAGTTAAAATCGGCTTGCGTTTAGCCGGATCCCATTATAACAACTACAGGAGAGCGCCGGTAAGCATCATGCCTCGATCCCGCTCACTGTGTCACCGGGCTAAGCCGACTTACCTACCTATATCCTCGCAAACGGTTCTCTTACCCCCTTTTCCTACAACCGTGTCTCTCTACTCTTCTTCCCTTCTCTCCTTCCTATCTGTGTGCACTGGCTTAATACTTGTATTATTCCTTCTCTTTGCCATTTGAATATTTAACCAAAACTTTGTCTCGATGTAGGCGAAGTTAATGATCTATCTTTCAACGAGACCGATTTGTTCAATATAGATAGATAATTCATAATAATTTGATGAATTATTATTAATTATGGTTAGATCAGTTGGATCGTGCTATTAAGCAACGAATTTCGATAATCTTGCGCTTTCTCGATACAATATAAATACATGTGTCAATGAGAAGTCAACAATTTAATCCATGAAATACATGTAAATTATTTTATATTCAATTAAGAAATTTTTTTTTTTATGTAAACATACTCACTAAATTATTATCCAATTATAAGAGTGTTTTTTTTTCTGTTTATATTGAAGTGCTCTCAAGTAATAATTTATAATAATTTATTGCATTTAACAAACATTCTGGAAATATACATAATC